ACCTTTCCGCAACTTGGGGAAAAAAAAACTACTTCCTCCAATCTTGCCCCCTCACCGCCCCCCCTTGGTATAATTACCTTACCACAAATGGCAAGCACTCATTACTCAGCGCAGTCACATGACCACCCTGACCAATGAATCCTCACTATTAAAAATGTAAAATACAGAGTGCGTGGCTGCAGTAAACGGTAATACGGAGTACAGTTCACTGGCGTCGGCGGAGGGGAAGGAGTGTCACCTAAAGGTACGTATAGCAGGCAGGAGAGGGGGCCAGATTGGAAGGGGTTATTCCATTTTCCCAAATTCACCTGGGAAAGTGGAATTACCCTTTTACAAACAGCGGTTTTAGATTACAGCAGCCACAGAGCGTTATACTTAAACATTTTTCTTTATTTCTCTCCTTGATATAAAAATCAATATATTCCACAATATTTGATATTATGGCACAACCTAAAACACAGCGATTTTCCGTACGTGTCCTTGCTCCACCAATGTACATAGGGTGTGTGCTTGGTGAAGATCCATCTGTATAACTCCATGGATGGACATTAGATAAACAATTCCTATTTTGAGGTACCTCTTTAGTTGTAATGTCACACATCTCATATATAACGCCCCAGTATATGGATAGATATTTTATTTGGAAAATTCCAGATTCCAGACCTAACATCTGTTAAAATGATCCACTTAATTGTATTTCAGATCATTTCTAGGACCTTAAAAGCACATTAATCCAGAGTACGGTCAACGAGCCGATGGATAATAGAACCTCTGACTTTCACTTGACAGCATTTACCAACACTGGAGGAAACCACCTCATTCTCTTCTTTGTGTTTTTATTGTTGTATTTAACCGGCATATTGGGCAATTCTCTTATAGTGACCTCTGTGATTATTGACACCCATCTGCACACCCCTATGTACATCTTCCTCTGCAATCTGTCCTCTGTGGATATGATTTTTAACTCATCTACTCTACCTAAACTGATGGACATTCTGCTTTCTGGGAATGACTCCATATCCTTCACGCAATGTTTCACACAACTTTATTTTTACATGTTGGCGGCCAGCACAGAGGACATTCTGCTGTCTTTGATGGCGTACGATCGGTATGTGGCTGTCTGCAAACCTTTACACTACCATCTGATCATGAACAAAGCAAAATATGTCCTTCTGCTACTGGGCACCTGGGCGGCCGGGTGCCTCAACTCTTTATTTTTGACTCTCTCAATCTACCAGTTCGATCTTTGTCCTGTAAATAAAATCCAACATTTCTTCTGTGACATTAAAGCTCTGGAGAAGATAACTTGTAGCCGTAGCCAGTTTTCTATACTGCTCTACATTGAAAGTGTTGTCCTTGGGCTCTTTCCATTTATACTCAGCTTATCCTCCTACATTAAGATCATTCTCATCATCCTCAGGATTAGGTCCACCAGTGGCAGGAAAAAGGCCTTCTCTACCTGCACGTCCCACCTTGCCGTGTTGATTGTCTTCTACGGTGTTGCTCTATGTATGTATGTAAAACCTCCGTCAGCTCACTTCGAGAGCCAAGACTTGGTGTTTTCCATAATGTACACAGCAGTGACTCCCATGCTTAATCCTTTAATATACAGTTTGAGGAATAAAGAGGTAAAATCAGCTCTGAGGAGGATTTTTAGAGTGAGCAAAAATTAGATCAAGTAACTATCATGAGGATGGTAGAGACTGTCCAAATTTGGCCAAAGACAAACATACACACGTAGGAGGACTCCACATACTTCTTCTTTTTTAAGGAACTGTTCACAATTAAGTGTTTTTGCTTTTTTTATTTTTACTTTTATTTAATTCCAAATGTTGAACAAAAACTAAAAAAGAAAGAGAGGCCACTACACTCCAAAACTCCAGAGCCACTGGGTCACTTCCAGTCAATCAAAAATTGTATCGGACTTCAACAAGACAAAACGGTTTTAACTAGGGATGCACCGATTTTCAAGTATCAGTGCCGATACTTGGCATTTTGATGAGAACTACCAGGGTTGCAATGGTTGCAGCTGGGACCTGGCTCTGGGGCCCTACCACTGTCCTGAAATCATTAGTTTGTATTGTTTTAGGAAAACTGTCACATTACAATAAACAAAAATGTATCAGTACTTGTACTTGCTAAAATGGTATCTGTGCATCCCTTTATATATATATTTATAAAAACAAAATCATACATTAAAACAGAGATGTACAAATCCCAGGATCTCCGTGTGCTCCTAACAAATGCCAGCGGCCTCCTAACTTTTCAATTTTTCTCTAGTCTAGTCTTGGAGCTCGTAAAGTATCGGTATATGTATTTTGTACTTGTACCGAGTACGGTACTTGGTATCGGTGCATCCCTAGTTTTAACTAATGTTGCTTTGAGATTCATTCAGTTTTGATATGATTGTAAAGGAAACTCTTTCCTTCTCTAGTTTTTGTATAATTTTGAGTTTTTTGTCTTGTTGTAGACACACGAGGAGGGTTCTGATATAGTTTTTGAGTAATTATACATAGGCAATATTTCCAGTTTGCTCCTCCATACCTTCCGTGGACAGACGCTTTCGAGTCAGAGAGCAAACAGCAAAATGAAAATAAAATACTCATAACTGGTCAAGTCGGCTTTGTAGTTTTCTGGTGTTTAGTGTTCCTGAGGGTTTGATGGTTTAGTAACAAAGTAAACAGCTCAGAGCTCAATTGTTGTATTTGTTACAGAATGTTTGACTCTTTTTTTTCCATGACATTAAATCCCGTAGAAATCCCAAGATCAAAAGGATCAAAATATCCAAACAACTCTGGAGTCAAGTGATCTTAAGATGATGATTTAACTATATATAGATTCTACTTTTAAAGTACAGTAACACCTAAAACTGATCCTTTACTTTGGTCTGGGGGGTGATATGTAAGATTACCACTTGGGTGAACCTCTAGATCCGGGGTCTCAAAGTAACGGCCCGCGAACCGGTACTATGTTGCCCGCAGTCAGCTGACAAGTCAGGCACACGGTCACGGACTGCGTACCTGACTTGCGGGAGCAGCTACATGGTTTGCACCTCTGTTGGATGCAGACCGCAGAGCTCCTCCTGTCACCGCCGGCAATCACTAGCTTCGATTGGCCGGAGCTCTGACAGCTCTGAGTTCTGGGCTGAAAGGAAGGATTAGTAAAGTCTGCACCAGACCATATTAATCACCACTGGATCACTAGGGAATGATGTGCCTCCTCCCTGCAAAGATGTAAGCAGGTAATGGGGCTCCCGGGGGAGTGCATTATTATTTGTGAGGGGGATTGGAACGGGGGTGAGTGTATTATCATGTGTGCG